TCAGGCATTGCAACGTACAAGATGTTATTTATGGGGTTCAAAACCTGCAAATACCGAAGTAACAAATAAATACAAATTTAAGCGTTCAATATTTGATATTTTCAATTGCCTTAAGCTGCTACTAAACTTACCGACTCCCATTCCGTGTATTTGTTTTCAGTTACGTGCAATTTGATGGTTATACGTGTTGGATTGTCATGTTGCAAAATATGTTTGACCATCTCTTGGCAATCTTCCTCCGAATATAGTGAGTGAACATCACTGCTATGCTGTGAATCGCTGCCGTCCGAATCAGAGCACTCCGATGAAGTGCGGCTGTGTTCGAATACGCTGCCACCAGTTGAATCCACAGAAGTTTTCCGAGAGTAATCTAAGTTGGAGGCATATTTTAATTATTATGTACATACGCTACATTTTTAAATTTAAAAGTTGTGTTTAACGTACCAGTTAAGAGTGACGCCCTATCGTGATCAGTTCTGTGGTGGGTAGGGACATCAAAACCACCACAGAGGCCCTACGCCGAGAGAGATACAGAAGGACTCAGTCGACATGTTGGTAGCGCAAGAGGAGGTGGAGATGGTACGTGCCTTAGATACACTAGGGAATCCAAGAGCATTTTCATTAACTTCTCTTCTACTGCTGAAACTACTACTAAATGTTGGGTCGCTGTAATAGAAAAATAGGCAATTTAGTCGAAAAGATATATTTATATGTATGTATTGGTTTTTGCCATCAAGAAAGCCAATTGTAGTGAAATAATTTGAAACATGATTTGAAATACTGTTTTGAATAATCGAAACATGAACTTAACATTTGTTAGTTATTTCATTTAGAACTTAAATTAAATAAGCTATGTATCTGGAATTTTCTCGACTACAGGCACGTTGTGATCAAGCCATTTTTATGATGCTGTGTATCTTTACTACTTTATCAGGTGGCTGTGAAGCTTGTTTACTCTGTTTTGAAATTGTTAATACTTAAATTTGTTATTCCTTTGTTTACTCAACCTCGATTGTCGTGGTGATGATGCACTAGAAACAAGTCAGAATGGGTAAACACAAATAAAGGGAAGATAAGATTATGATAAAGAAAAGTCTCTACGTAGCATAGTTTGCTAGAATAACACAAATGAGATAATAATATTATGGGTTTATAACCATATTTATAGGGATGAAAGGGATCGCTTGTTCGCTTAAATTATAAGCCACAACGCATAAAATAAACATTCATCTACACCTAGAGGAAATAAAAAATTTAGTTAGAGATGTAAATAACTACCTCATACTTTATTACATTTATCTCAATGAGATAATAATACATACAGTTACTCCCAAAATGGGCGTACGGCTCTTTTTTTGTTAATATTCGCAATGTTTTACATGCTAATTTATTTTTTTATTAATTTTGTATTAAAATATGGCTTATATTTTAGCAAACTCCATTTAAATCCAAGATTGATACTGTGTACAAGTATTAAGAAAACTCTGCAAATTTCAACAAAATCACGAACTTTTTGATACGAATTTCTAAAAAGAATTCAGTTATGCAATTTTATAGCGCATTAAATTTTAGTATAATAATATACAAATTTCAAATCTAAAAAATCGCGTTGATTTTTGAGAATTTTTTTCCGACTGTCCTACCCTTTTTTCATATAAAAAATTCCAGAAATTAACAAAAAAAAGAGCCGTATGCTCAATTTTTAAGCCATTCAAGTAAATTATTCTTTAGCGCAATTTCACATTTTTAAGGCCACTCGCCTAGAAAGCTCTCAACCTGTATTATATTTTTCTCAAGCTTTCCGTCAAGCATACCGACAAGCACATTCAGCATGAAAATGGCGAACTCGCTCGAGTTGCTTTTCGGCTGTCAAACGAGTGTAAACGTTTTAATTGTCGTTCTGCAAAAAAGCTACTTTTGCACCACGTTCACAAATAAATATTTAATTATTCATATAAAATATCATCAAATAAAGCGGGATGTCTATCGGTGTACCAATAAAAGTGCTACATGAAGCAGAGGGGCATATTATCACGTGTGAGACAATTACCGGCGAAGTATACCGGGGCAAACTAATAGAGGCGGAAGATAACATGAATTGCCAAATGACACAAATCACAGTCACATATCGTGATGGACGAACGGCAAACTTGGAAAACGTGTACATACGCGGGTCAAAAATTCGCTTCCTTATCCTACCTGACATGTTGAAGAATGCGCCGATGTTTAAAAAGCAAACAGGAAAGGGATTGGGCGGGACGGCTGGCAGAGGAAAAGCGGCGATACTACGAGCGCAAGGTAAAAGTGTTAGCATGTGCGATTTGCGTACGCATCTAATCTATTTACATTTGTAGCTCGAGGAAGAGGTCGTGGCGGCCCAGGTGGAGGTGGAAGAGGCGGCCCACCAACGGGTGCTCCTGGTGGTGGACGTGGGGCATGGCAAGGAGGACCGACGGGTGGCCGAGGCCGTGGTGGTCTTTAAGTAAATAGTATTTTAATTCCTTTAAATTAAGTTTGAATTACAATGAAGTAAATCCTGGAACTAGATGTTTGCTAGATGATCGATGTTAATAAAACATTGAAAGTCGACTGACGTTCTTATGGCTAACAAAATTGGATTTTGTAATGGATAGACTTTTCTCTGGGAAAAAATACGAGTTTTTAGGACTAAGTTTCTAGTTATTTTATAATTGAACTTTAGACGGAATACATATATTCAGGCAGGTTGTACATACCATTTCCGAGCGAATTTTCACCCCTTAAAATTTGCATTCCAAGTGACATTGAAAACCACTTCAAAACGAATTGCCGAATCTGCCTGATATTATCAATAGATCCTTACCTCGTGTTAAAGTTAGTGTCAGAGGCTAAACGCCTTAAAGATAACCCCCATTCACTTGCTACTAAGTATGTTCAAACAAATATTACTGAACAGACAGCATTAACGGATTGGGAAACATGTTTTTAAAAGCACCTTGGGCATAACAGTTAAGAGCCAGATGCCGTTTGTGGACATATACAAAATACAGAAAAACATGGAATTTTAGTAAACTTTGCTGATTGTCGAATACTATACAAAAAGAGCAATTCCATGACAGTATATTATAAAACTTGACTGTCGATGGATAGCTCTCTTCATTTTGCCATTCGTTTTGTGGATTTAGATCGGATTAGATCCACCACCAAACACAAGCAAACATACAAAAACGTAGTAAAATAAGTAAATATTCTGAAAATAATTTTAACATACGAACTATTAGGACAAGGACCAATGTCAGGTTCAGACAAATACAAATACAAATACATACAAAAATACACACATCTATATAAATAGGCGACGATCAATCGGTTAAAATATAAAGAGAGCAATTCCATGACAGTATTAAATTAATGAAGCTGGACTGTCGACAGACAGCTCTCCTTACTTTTTCGCTGTTTGCATTGACCATTGCCAATTCCTCTGGGCTTCATTTGTTTCAGATATAGGACTTCGAAGAGCGAAAATCGGACACATGGACATAAACAAATAGATGTTAATAAAATGAATATGTACTTTCATACATATATGTACATATACTACGTATTTAAATTT